AAAAATAAAATATCGCTTTTAATGAGGAGAGGATTAGTAGTATTTTTGAACATAGGTTTTGGGGGATGTGAACCTTGTAAACCAGTTTTGAGTGCTTCATCTTTTCTCATTTTCCAGAGCTCATTTTGTAAAAGGTTGCCTGATAAATGGCAAAGGGTCAGGGAATACATAATTCACTTATTCCCACTGAGCAGTGGTTGGGGGAGTCACACCTTGTTCAAACTTTTGCTACGTGGAAATAAATAAAAACTACTCAAAATCGCAAGTTGGCCTTCAATTATTGGCCTACTGAGCTAGCTGGCTTTGCTAAATTCTTTTCATTAACCACATACATACACAAGATCCTGCAAAGGAGTCTGGGTTCTTACAGCTATGCTCAAAGTTGGAGGACGGCAAAATTGTTAACCTTGATGGGGGACATGGTGTCTAGAATGTGCGCACTTAGCTTCAAAGTCCAAAGCTCCCAAAGCAAAGCAAATATGGGAATAATCTCTGATGAAGTAAAGCTATGAAACTTTCAGCTCCAGAAGGCCACATTTAGGCCAAGGCTTTATAGATAGCTTGCTATATAGATAACTGAACACTCTTTTTTTCCTATGAACCTAACTCCACTAACCAAATCGAGGTCTGTGATTTTCATCAAAATGATCCAAAGCCATGCATTTTTAAAATCTAACACAAGAGTTTGAGTTAATATTGGGAGAGTGAACAAAGCTTTGAAAAACATGAGAAACACCAACCCTTGGTTGCACTTTTTAAGATGGAACCTGGCACTCCAGTGGAGGTCAGGAATCAGTGAGGTCTCCACTGACCCACAGAGGGAAGCCTAGCAGGGGATGTCCTGTTGCTTCCCGCTGCCAGCAACCCTGCTGCTTTTGATAGGGGAACTAACAAGACAATATCTCATCCAGCCGAAAAATATAATAAAACATGACAAACCCAAACAGCATTTGTCACCGGGTGCAAAATAATAAAATCCCAAACTTTTTCAGCTCCTCAAAAAATGGCAGTGAGGGAGAGTAGAGGGGGTAAGTGGAGAGTCTAAGTTGTCCCTCCCAGAAGAAACCACTTCCTTCCTTCAGGGGTTATAGTGCCTTAACTCTAAGCAGGATTCTGCTCCCCCTTCAAGCTCAAAAGGAACCGGGTCAGAAAAGGCATAGCTGGTTTCCACAGCAGGCCCAGGTCATGGGTCCACTACTCCAAGGACACAGAGCAAAGTCGCCTACATTGCAACACATCATCTCACTTATTGTTCAACTTCTGACACAAGAAAAAAAGTTGAAGTTGAAAAGGTTAGCATTTGACAAGCAACCCATTTTAAATGAACACGTTTTGAAAAAGCTTTGAGGTGGAAGATCATTAATGGCTCTATGAAACCAAAAAAGAAATGGAAAAACAGAAATCCGATTCTTGGTAACATTTGTCCCTTCTGAGTCTGTGGAGTTGCATCTCCTGGCAATTCAGAGTGGTTAAAACACAACTTTTCCCACACCAAGCTCTGTCCCTAAAATTTCAAATGCAACTTAGATTGTGTCTAATCCCATTTCCTCCCAAAGCAGCAACCAGAGAAATAAATAAAATAAATTCCCCAAACTAATTAGCTCTTCATGGTCCAATTTAGAAAGAAAGGGAAAGACTATGAACAATTATGTTTACAGACAAAAATATAAATGGGCGTTCACTTATGTGTGACAGGGATATGGATGTGTAGGGCTGATCCTGGATGCCATCTCCCTCCTGTTCCCCAGCCCTTTCGCATCCACCATCATTTATCTGGCAAATCGCAGACCTTCATTGAAAGGGTGGGCAGTCCAGAGTTTACCCCAGAGGCCTCCACTCCAGCACTCTGCCAGTTCTGACCTTTGCAATGGAATCTGTGATGTTTCTCCACTGAATGAGTAAAAGGTGAATGTACAGAAACTTTCCTGACAACACTTGGAGCTGTGCTGCCTCCCCACCCCTTCCCTTCAAGAACACCTGAGTGTCTGTCTCCAGTGGAAGATGAAGCAGATGTAGCATTGGCTGAGAAGACGAAACCAGCATTGCCTGACTAATCTTGCTCATTTCTGTGTTCCATAGGAGGTCATGATGTAAATGTAAAGAATTGAATTTGCAGTGCTAATTGCAACATTGGTAATGAAAGGTTATGCCGTCCTGAGCAGGCTCCAAGTCCAAAGTGAAAGGAATTTTTGGATGTAGAAAAGGTTGTTTTGGGAGATTTGTGTGTGGTAGGGGTGGTAAGGGGAGGAAGAGAAGAGAGGAGGAGGGGAAGGAGGGAGGGACAGAGAGGAAGGGAAGGGGGAGGGAGGGAGAGAATGGAATGAGGGAGGGAAAGAAGGAAGAGAGGAAGAGGACAGAGAGGAGAGAAAGGAGGAGGGCAGGAGTGGAGGGAGGAGATGGAGTGAGGAGGGAGAGAAGAGTGGAAGGGAGAAGACAGGGAGGAGGGAGAGGAAAGAGGGAGGAAGGGGGAACGGAAAAGAGGGAGGAGGGAACAGAGGCAGTGAAGGAGATTCGGGGGAGTAAGTAGAGAGTAGAAGTTGTCCCTCCCCATAGTTCTCTCTAGGGTACAATGGGGCATTGAACAGAATGTTGCGCTCTACGATCAACAGGATTTCAAATACTCTCTCTTAGATTCTTCTCTTTTACCCTCTCTCTTTCTCTCCTTTGTCTTCCATTTACCTCCCCTTTCTGTGTGTGCAGACTTGATATATTTGAAATTGCCTGTTATACATGTATATGGTGTGACTTCACTATATATCCATAGGATCAGTTCCAAGAAGGAACATTTTGGCACATCTAGATATACATTTTGGGGAAACTGTCAGCTAGTCTCAGCCTTCCAAGCCTGGTAGCCAGGGAAGCAGAAGCACATTAGGGTTCATTTCACCCACCCCAGTCCCCCATCCCAGACCATACAGAATCCTAGTAATGTTGATGATCGATTTTAGCTATAGAATAATATGTGAGAAATATAGTTGTGAATTGCTTAAATGTAATGTTTAGTAGATGATATGAATTTGTTGTTGTTGTTAACTGCTGTTGAGTCGGGTTCATCTAGGTTTTCCGAGGAGCGGTTGTTGTGTTTGAACTGACAACCTTGCAGTTAGCACTCTAGTGCTTACCCTACATCACTATACTAGCAGCTATATGAATATTAACAACGAAATTGCTTTGTAAAATTTCTCTTGCAGCATACTTAGTCACTGAGTATAATAAGCCTTTTTGATTTTTCTTTCTTTTCCTTCAATAACTACTTTCATTCACCCCTAAAGAAGGGATTGCTATAGGTTCACAAGTACTAATTACAGCTACATTGTAGCTAAAACACCAGAAAATTTAACAAAATTGACAACTATCAAAACATCAACAGTGATTGAAATTAACAGCACATGCTTGTAGCATGGGCTGAGGAAACCACACGTGATTTGAGGTGTCATTATAATTGGATAATAATCTCAACTCTGACTGGAGTTCATTAGAAGGTTCCAAAAGTACATGAGCATAAGGAGCTCTGGTAGCGTAGTGGTTACGAATCGGGCTGTGAACCTTAAGATCAGCAGTTTGAAACTACCAGCCGCTCCACGGGAGAAAGATGAGGCTTTCTACTCCCGTAAAGATTTACACCCTTGGAAACCCTGTACAGGATCGCTACGGGTCGGAACCGACTCGACGGCACTTAACAACAACAAGATGTAAATTGATACATGTAAGCTGGGTTTACAAAAACAGTATTTGTAATACTGTTTTTGTATTTTTTAATCAGAATACTCACTACAGGGGTATTCTGATTACAAAAATCAATTTCTGCTGAAACTCTGTACAACAATTTTATAGCTAGTCGTTTTTGTGTCTCTCCTTCCCCTCCAGACAGTGTCACCTGGTGTGGTCCATATCCCCTGTGCCCCACTACTGAGTATGTCCTAGGCGACTGGTGGTTTTGGAGGTTGGGCCTGGCCATCAGGAGAACATGAGAAACTTACACCACTGACACCCCTTGCATGGGACCTCAGCTTTTGCCTCAATCCCTCCTCTCTTTCTTTCTCCTTTTCTCTCCCCTGGAAGAGTGATCAGGGTTAAATTCCTAGGCCTTCATATAATGGGGAAATGCCACAAGAAGACACAGAGGACTGTTGATGTCCCAGTTTGGAGCCCTGCACAGCATGCTTTGGCCAGAAGAATGGCATCTAGGGAGCAGAATGCTGGGAAGATGGGTGAAATGAAAGCACAAGGCAGGGCAAGAGGGAGAAGATCAAGGTCGAGAGTCCCCACCAGGAAAGATGCCATTTTCCTTTCCTACCAGGCCTAGAATCAACCTCATGATGCGCATGGCGTCTGGGGAGAGCGTTGTTCATTTTTTTCCCTGAACAGCACCTGGTTTCACAAGCACCACCCAGGGTCGGAAGGTAGAGTCTTGATGCCAGCAAACTTTGGCACGGACTTTGTGCCAGAAAGACCCTGTTTGAATTGCATTATATCTTTTAATCCACAATTTTATAAGGCCCGTTTTTCTGGAGGAGGAAATCATCTTAGAGAGCTTATGGCAGGAATGGAAAGCTCTGGAAGCAGTGTCACATGCCTTGGGTTGTGGGTGTGAACTCTGTAGCCAGCTGCCCTGCTGTGGCCCTGCCTTGCTGTGTGACAGTGGGCAACTCAGGTCACTTCTCTGTGCCTCAGGGAAGTATCACTAGCCCTGCCATTGAGGACTGAAGTGAGATAAGGCAGGTAAAGCACCAGTCCTAGTCTGGGGAAGGCTGCCTCAAGTCACAATGACAGGGCATTTGGGAGCCCAGTCTAGCTCTTGCCTGGGCGGTGGAAGTCAGGCTCCTAGTCTCAGTGAACCTGGCTGTTGGACCCCTATCCTGCCTACTGTATCCAGCTCCACATGGATCACGACCACAACCATTAAGAATTCTCCCTGAGCCAACGGACCCAGTTCTGGGGCAATACAGTCAGACTACAAAGGGACCCCGTTGAAGACAAAACAAAGCAAAAAGGCTCACAATGATAGACGATGATGCGTCTCCAGGCTGAGCATCTTGCCTGCTAGTGAAAGGGTCCCAGTGTTGGTGTTGGTGCTCCACCGAGCTAGCTGCAGAAGTCCATGCAAACAGATGGCAACAGGCCTATAACAAAATCAAACCACAGTGCTCCTGAACTGCACCCCATCTGGCCTGGCCTGCCCTGTCTGCCTCCATACTGTGCCCCCTGGGCACCCCACGCGCTGCAAATGATGGCTCAATCCCCCGATGTGGGTGCACTCTGCTTGGTTAGGCTCCATGGACCTGAATCAAGAAGAAACTGTCTGTGTCTTACGCTCCGGAGAGTCCTCAGGAAAGAGATTCTGGCCCAAACACTTTATGGACAGACCCCCTTCCCCCCCAACACACACACACTGACTGCTGTACAGAAGAGGAGGCACATGGAGGGGGCGAAACGGAAGTACTGAGAACTGTCAGGGCCAAGTTTTTTGGAGGGGATGGTACTTGAGTCTTAAGGAACTGTAGCAGTTGGACAGGGGAGAGAAGGTGAGAGGGAAGGCCAGGCGCAAGGGAGCAGCATGAGGAAAGGCCCGGTGGGAGCCAAGAGCTGCCAGCACTTCAGGGTAACTAAATAGAGGTGGAGTCTAAGGAGAGAGATGGGGCCAGATTGTGGACCTCAGAGTAATGGATGGCTTAGGGGGAGAAATCAGTTAAGAGTAGACTGTAAAAGTTCAAAGAATCAAGAGGGATCAGATCAATGGACAGGAGGGACATCCTGCCTCCCGAGAGTCACAACTTTGTGTGAGCTCCTCGTGAGCTGAACCTTGTGACCTGCTTTTAGCCAAGAGAAGTCAGCAAAAGGGATGGGCTGTCCCTTCCAAGATGGGTTTCTGAAGACTGACTTCGGTCTTACTGACACTGCCCCTGCCTTGTTTGAGGTCGACATGGCAAGGCATTGAGATAGGCCTTGGGCTACCACTCATGAGAACTAACACCTCAGTTTAACAACCTGCAAGGAACTGATTCTTCCTAGGTGAGCCCAGAGGTGACTGTGTACTAGGAGAGACCACAGACCAGACAACCTAGCTAAGCTGTGCCTGGGCTCCTGACCCACAGAAATGGCAAGGTAATATAGGTGTGTTGCTTTAAGCTAGCTGATGCATTGGTGTTATACAACAATAGAGAACTCATACACGTGGGGACCAGGACACAGGGAAGTATGAGCTGGATTTAGTGACTGATAAGACTGTTGGAGAGGAAGGAGAGGGAAAAGTTCAAAGTAGTTTCAAGGAGAACTCAGGCTCTAGAGTTAGACTGGGTCCAAGTTCCTGCTCTGTCCCTCTCTAACTAGGTGACTCTGGGCAAGTCATTTCAACTCTTTGAGCCTCCGTTTCTTCATTCTAAAATCGAGACGGTAAAAAAGCTACTATCTTACAAAAATCGATCTTTTTTCCTTTCAGGGTCTAAATAGTAAGATGTGCACATAAGGTTGGAAACGGCAGTTTCAGGAGGTTCAGCATGCATCTTTATGCCAAGCTGTGAATGTCTCCATGCAGTTTGCTTGTGTCCTATGAAGTTTGTGCTAACCCTGCCTCGGGAAACACATTACACGGCCCAGTGGCGGGGGAGAGTGGGGGGCTCAGGGGTGGGTGTAATTTGGTGGAGTGTAATTTGGAGAAGTCTCCCTTGACTTCTTCCCTTAGGAGCCTTATGGGTGCAGACTTTTCCTCCTGGAGAAGTAAGAAACCTGGACAGACATGGGAACCCTAACCTGGGCCTCGTTAACACTGTGCTCTAACCATGTAGAATTCACCGGCCTAAAGAGACTTTCCCCGAGTCAAGTCCAGTCCCACAGAGACCTAAAGCCTGGCTTGGCCCTCCAATGGCAGAAGACAGTCCTTATTTCCATACCAACGCCACACTGTCAGAGAGCTGCTTCTCTTACCTGTCTGGGCTCTGAGGGCAGCGATCGTGGCAGGCGCTGGGGTTGCTGGATCATCTGCTGCAGGAGGAACGAAGAATGGTCAGGCTGCTGCAAAGTGGCAGTGGCGGTGGAGGAGGCAGTGGCCGAAGAAGCCTGTGTTGGCGTCGGTTGCTGCAGGTAGTGGAGCAGGGAAGGCTGCCTAGAGGTGGCAGGCATGGAGGGCAGCTTCTGAGGACCCGGCTCAGAGACAAAATGGGACAAGGGCTTGGTGTTGCCAAAAGTAAAGGGCTCCGGGGCCCCTGGATTGGGGCTTGCCAGCCCCTGTTGCATGATCAGCCTCAGAGTTTTGGAGGAGCCAGTAGGCATGGGCTTAAAGATTGCACTTGCTTGCTGTTGCTGCTGCTGGCTTAGTGGAGTGCTGGTGGGTGTGAGGCTCCGTAGCAGTGAGCATTGGGGGGTGAAGGATTGCTGTGGCAAGCCAGGGCTGGAGAGCTTCTCTGGGCGATAGGGTGGTGAGGGCCCGGGATTGCTGGTGGGCAGAGCAGACATCAAATGTCCTTGGGGGTTCTTGATGTTTGAGGACACCAGGTTGGCGAGAATAGAGCTCTGAGGGCTGAACTGCGACTGCTGGCTGAGAGCAGGGCTGGGGAGCTTCTCAGGAACGTAGGGCATGACTGGCCCCAGGGCAGGGTTGCTGTTGGTAGCCATGCCTGCAAGCAAGGCGTTGGGAGAGCCTTGGAGACAGCTGCCCGGCAGGTTGCTGGATGACATGCAGGACACCATGAGGCTCTGTGGGCTGAATGGTGGTGGTGGGTGTGGAGATGGCACTGGGTGGTAAGGGGGAGAGAGACCCGGTGGAGGCAGACCAGACCAACTGGGTGGGGGCCCTTGCTGCTTCGTAGTAGATCCCTGCTTGTTGGCTGCCAATGCCTTCAGCTGGTGGGCATGATGCCACTGAGGCACCTGGGGTGGTGGCACAGTGACTGAGAGCAACGCCTGGCCCTGGTTCTTGGCTTGTGCTGTTGAAGAACTGGGTGAGACCAACTGCTTACTGGTAGAAGGGATGGTGTAGTTCATCCCTGCAGAAGAGAGTGGTATGTGGAGCGACACACCGGCCACTTGGCTGCAACTCGAAGCAAAGTCTTTGCTGGAACCCAGACCCTCCAAGCGTGGCATGTGCACTGGAGGCTTCGGAGTTGGGCCTAGGGCTGCCGGGGGATGATCCAAGACCAACGGTTCCTCTGGCTTGCTCCCCAGGATCTTCTCAAGATCTAGATCACTAGAAGAAGGTTCTTGAATTTTTGTTAGCTCCTCCAGCAGATCTTGAAGTTCCTGATCTACAGCTGACATGCTGTTTGGCATGCTGTTGGCTTTGTCATAGTAAGGGGCAGTGGGCCCTTTCAGCCCCATTTCTGCTGTTGGGGGCACCGCAAATGGTGAGCCCATAAGGTTGCCATTTATGGGATTGTTTTCAAGGAGGAGTGAATGGCCAGCTACGCCCATAGCTGTTGTGCTTGGGTTCATTGGCAATGGAGGCACCTGCAGCTTGGCACACGGGGCACTGGGATGGGCACCTGGGCCCATAGAAAGTGTGACATCTTCAAGGCAGGGTCTCTTAATTTTATTAGGGTAACCCCCGTCAGCCATGACTGGATATTGCTGGAAGTTGTCTCCTGCTTGTCTCCTCTTAGTGGTGCCCTGTGGCTGAAAGAGAAGAAAGAGTGTGTGGCATTTCTATAGAGGTTCGGCATATGAAAGTTAATGAACAGCAAACCTGTGAGGTAAAGCAGACCCCACAGCTTCAAGACTAATACTCTGGTATAAAATGCAGCTTATTTTTAGAGCCATGATGCTTGTTTCTTCGTTGTTGAGTTTCATTGAAACAGTCTGATTGCATTTCAAATAAGGCATTATGCTGTCTGTATACTAAACATGACAGAAAGTCATGCAAAGGATATTCTTCGCCCAATTAAAGAGAAGTTCTACGAAACTGCAGAAATCACTAAATGAACTATACCGCCAAAGGCAGCATTTAAGAGTAAGCTAGCAGTAGCTAGGATCATTTCAGTCCCGACTTGCCTACAGATATCCCAATTTTTAGAAAAGAAAAAATGCCACATAGACATTTAACTTGTAAGTTGTCTGCTGCTGGTGGTGAAATGCATCAGGCTGCTGCGATAAAGGAGAATAGGAAACAGCCTTTAAAGGACTGGAGGAGGTCTGGGGTGGCTCTCCAGGCAGCTGTCTAAGATATATTGTTTAGGGGAAAACACAAGTTGCAGAATAATAACCATAGCGTGCTTCCAGTTATTTTAACACACACACCACACACACACACACAAACGCCGCTATGTGCATACAAAAATAACTTTGACGAGAACCTACACTCAGCGGCTGGGAGTTTTCATCTCTTGGGGAGTGAAGAGGGGAATGACTGACATTTCTATTCTGGACATTTCTGTTTTTCTTGTTTGTTTTTAACCAGAAGGATTCATAAGCCAAAATTTTTTGAAAAAGAGGATAAAGCTTATCTACATAAGAAATTCCTTTTTGCAGATGCATCCTCAGGTTGAGGAGATACCAAATAACAGGAAAAGGTCCAAAATGGGCTCTGTACCTTAGGGGAGATGCCCATCATTTAGAAAAGCATTGATTTGGAAACAAAGCAAAGGCATTAAGGATGCAGTTTTTCCTAAATCCCCATAATGGCTTCATACAGTCATCTGTGGCTGTCATGTTAACGACCATGACCTGCATGTCAACAGATTTCATCAGTCAGCAATACCACTCCTTCAAGTAACAGGGGAAAGGGCGTGCGGGTGGAGGAATATGTGTTGGAATGCTCAAAATAAGTAGAGAAAGACAGAGACTTGGAAATCACCTAAATGCCAACAGACTAACAGATATATTGCTTTTGAAACATTGTTCATATAAGAAAGCCCTCTCTTCCTTTGACAGTCTTACTAGGACATCTGGTGGCTGGTCCTCTGATGCCCCCTCCCATTGGGCAGTTCAAGCACGGCAAGCTTATAGCTCACTGGGGGCTCAAGGTGTACTTGCGTGATGAGGTAGAAGGCAGAGTGATCATCCAAAGAGGTCCTCTAGGGCGGCACACCTCATGCCTTGCTGCCCATCAGAATCATTCAGATTCCCAGGCCCTCTCATTGTAAATCCATTGCTGCTGGAAACCCAGTTAGCCAAGGATTCCCAAAGCTCCACAGCTAGCGCATGGATGGCGGTGGCATGGCCTAGGGCTGTGGTTTGACCGCAGACTCCACTAGGTTGCAGTCTTAGCCTTGTCACTTAACCTCTCTGGGCCCAACTTTCTTCATTTGTAAAAGGAGTGAAATGACTGTTCTTATCTCATGGTGCTGCTCTGACTAGTAAATGAACTAGAAAGTGGAGGGCTTGGCACATTACAGGGCACTTAGGAGAACTCCTGGTGTGGCGCTGTAGATCAGCATTGGACTGCAAGCCACAAGGAGATGGCTCAATCCCACCAGCTGCTCCTTGGAAGCCCTGTAAATGGTCGCTATGAGTCGGAATCGACTTGATGGCACTTAACAACAACTACTACGAGAACCTTAGAGCCCCTGGTCTGTACAAATACTTAACATGCTTGGCTGCTAACTGAAAGGTTTGGAGGTTTGAATCCACTCAGAGTCACTTCAAAAGAAAGGCCTGGATGGCAATCTAGTTTTGGAAAATCCCATGGAGAAGAAGAATCTGGAGCAGAAGCTCAAATTTCTATACTCCAAACAAAACAAAAATAGACTTAGGAAACTGGAGGCCTCCCTGAGACTATGGAGCCGAGATACTCTTCAACCCCAGAGCTGTAAATAACTCCTGAGGTCATCCTGTAGCCAAATAACATATCAGTTCACAAAACAATAAATATCAGTTCCAAAATCACCTATATGAGACCTAATGGTCAACAATGACTTCAAAATAAAGATGAGGTTGGAGGGGCACAAGGACACTAGATTAGTGAAAATGAAATAATCAGAATAGAAATAATGAGAATTGTTCCAAAAATAGTTACATTGAGAAGAATTTAACCAGTATTACTTAACAACACATGTAGAAATTGCTGAATGGGAACCTAAAGTGTAGTGTAAGTCTATGCTAATATTTGTGGGAACAGAAATCCTTATCTTTCTTCTGAACAGAGAGAGATGCTCCTTAGAAACCCTATAGAGGGTTACTATGAGTTGGAACCAACTTGACTGCACTTAACAACAACAATGTTCTCCTACGGAATTCAAAGAAGTCCAATGTAGGAAATAAGTGAATGTGGGGAGAGGACCAATAAGAGGTACTTGGGAATGGTTGGGGCCCAATGTGCAAATTCAATGTCTTGACCTGCAAGGTGAGTTTACAATCAAGTCTAGAAAGAACCCAGGCAGCAAAGGATGGTGACATGACTGGGAGGCACATGGCCTGGAGTAGCGAGCAGGTGAGTCTCTGCAGTTTGCTGCTAGTTGCTATGGGCTTCTGAGCTGCCATCTTAGGTTGCAAGACCTAAGGAGCCAGGGGTGGAGAAGGCAGGGTTGAGCACTGGACGCTGAAGGTAATATGAGGAGGAGCCACTGGCAATACACAGACATCTACCAATGGCCTGAAAGCCAACGTTACCCACTCAATCTCAATTCTGGAAACGAATTGGTCCCTCACTAGCAAAGCAAATCCCAATAGGCTCTCATGGGGTAAGGGCCAAGTCTGCAGCTACACAATTAAAATGGGTCAGGAGTAGGGAGTAAAAGGAAGACTACGCTTGGTTAGAGTTCAGCAGCTCTTCATTGGGATTTGACAGTAAGCACTTTCAGCAGTGAGTCTTAGCCCCTGCCTGGCGGGCCAGCACACCAGCCAAGCCTGAGCCAGGCTGTGTTTACATGGACACGCTCAGCCTGGCTGGGTTCACATCTGCTTTCAGCAGGCAGCACTTAGGCGTGGAAATCTATTATCCAGCTAATTTTTCCCCTAGAGAAAGACTCACTTCAGTACCACCTCGTCTGCAGTCCTGCAATTTGCTACTCATCTCAACTGCAAGGAGCTGGCTGCATTTCAAACCTTAATGCCAATGCCACACTGCCCCCCTCACCGGGAGAGCAGGCCCAGGGTATTGCTGGCTGCTGAGGTTCTGACCTGGGTAGGATTTTGTTTGTTTGTTTGTTTGTTAATGGATGCTAACAGATTGTGGGTTTGGTTACCTCTTATAGGTGGCAAAGCCCTAGTGATGCTCTGGGCAAAGCATTGGGCTGCTAACCACAAGGTCATCTGTTTAAACCCCCCAATTACTACTGCAGAGGTGAAAGAGTGACAGCCTCGGAACCCCTGTGCGGCGGCTTTGCTCTGTTCTGTAAGCTGCTATGACTTGGAATGGGCTTGATGACACTTGACTTCTAACCTAAAGCTGGTGATCTGAACATACCTAGCAGCACTGAGCCCTGATAGGATAGTGAGTTACGGGATGGGTGGCTAAACACCATGTCAGCAATTTGAATCTACCAGCCACTCTGTGGGAAAAAGATGAAGCTTTCTGCTCTAGTAAAGATTTACGGCCTCAAAACCTTATACAGGACCACTGTGAGTCAGTGCCAACTCCACAGCACAAAACCACCACCACTGTGGAGTCTTGGTGTGGTGTTGTAGGACAAGCAATTGATTGCTAACCACAAAATCAGTGATTCAAACTCACCAGCCAATCTTTGGAAACCCTATACAGGTCACTATGAGTTGGAATGGCTCAATGGCAGTGAACACAAAGCAGTACTGTTAACAACAAGGATGGCAGTTCAAACCTATCAGGTGCTCTTTGTGAGAAAGACGAGGCTTTCTGTTCCTATGAAGACTTACAGCCTCAGAAACTCTGTACAGCAGAAGAAAGGCCTGGTGGTTTACTTCTGTCAAGATGACAGCCAAGAAAACCCAATTGGAGCAGTTCTATTCTGTAATACATAGGTCACCATTAGTAGGAATCAACTTCGGGACCATGGGTTTAGGTTCTTAAAAGATTATTATTTACTTAATAATACATTGGGAACCTTTTTCCATGCTGATACCTATGCACCTGCACCCAGGTGCATCCTTAGGATTTGCTGTTCCACTGTGTACCTGGAGCCTCATTTATTTAGTGAAGTCTCTATTCTTGGGCAGGTGCTTTGCCTCAGCTTTTCTCACTTTCTTTCTTCTTCTTCTTTTTTTAAAAAGCTCCTCCTTCCCAGACCCTCATTGTTGTTAGGTGTCATTGAGTGGATACCGACACATAGGAACCCTACAACAGACCAAAACACTGCCCGCTCCTACGCCAACCTCACAATCTTTATTATGTTTGAGCCCATTGCTACTGCCACTGTGCCAATCCATCTCTTTGGGAATCTTCCTCTTTTTCTCCGACCCTCCAGTTTACCAAGAATGATGTCCTTCTCCAGTGACTGGTCCCTCCTGATAATATGTCCAAAGTATGAGACAAAAGGAGCATTCTGACTGCACTTCTTCCAACACAGATTTCTTGGTTCTTTTGGCAGTCCATGGTACTTTTAATGTTCCCCTCCAACACCATAACTCAAGTACATCAATTCTTCTATGGGCTTCCTTATTCACTGTTCAACTTTCACATGCATATGAGGTTATTGAAAGTACCATGGCTTGGGTTAGGTGCACCTTAGTCCTCAAACTGACATCTCTGCTCTTCAACACTTTAA